GAGACAAAATTAGTTAACACACTAAGAGACTATAAAAAAAATATTTCCAAGTGGCAATTGCTATTTTCTTAAAAGTAGGTGGCCTTTTTTTTTCTTTTTCTTTTGAATAACTATTAATTAAAAGTATAGAAAACCTACCAAGTGTAGCATTTCTGCACTCTGCAATTCCTTTGCAACTTCCTTAGTGTAACACCTCTACCTTCTTAATTTATTTGGGATCTGGTGTTCAGCATGAGGTCTTTGTACAGGGACATATTCTGGTACATTGACTTGCAGTTAACAACAAATTTTCCATGGAAGCAAATAGAACTGCATGACCAGGAAAACACAAAGGGTGTCAGCCATACGTCTAGCACCTTGAAATCTCTGATAGACCTCTTGTATTTAGTAAGGTGGTCCTAAAAGCATTTTCCTTCCTAAATCAAGGCTTTGCAGGAGCTTAGCTGAGCTATGCAGGCTGAAAGGGACTTTCAGGGCACTTTTGCTTGAAGTTGCAGCCAGCCCAGGGAGGTCATTTAAAATTGGCTGTCCAGCCCTAGCACAAACCTGTCCTGGGAGCAGAACCTGTGCCCAACCTGTGCCAATGTGAGCAACCTGCTGCAGTGCAAAGTGAGGCCCTAGCACAGAGAAGCTGTGGCTGCCCCATCCCTGGAAGTGCCCAAAGGCCAGGTTGGATGGGGCTGGGAGCAGCCTGGGATAGTGGAAGTTGTCCCTGCCTATGGCAGGATGTGGTGCCGGTTGGGCTTTAAGCTCCCTCCCAACTCAAACTCTTCCATGATTCTGAGGAGCAGGATCTGTTTCTTTTTGAGGTGATGTGGAAGGTGCATCCTCCCTCCTGTCCTTGGTGCTGGAGATGGAGAGTAGTTATGATTCAACCCATGTCTCTGACAGAGATACCTCTGCACCACCACCCAGCCTCATGCAGACACACCACCCATGTCTGGTGGGATATTGCCGGTCTCCTGTGAAGGAATAAACTCTGACATAAAATATATATAAAAAAAAATTAAAACCCCACAGTTTTCCTCATTCTTACCTGTTCATTCCCATGATTCCGGCTTCTGGGAATTTGTGTTTCTTTTCCAGTTTTTCCCACATCTTGAGAACAGGACAATTGTGTTCACTGTGAATGAGTGTTCCCCAACTGCTGTAGTTTGAGGGAAAGGTGAAGGTGGGTAAGTGAGGAGGAAGAACACAAGGGCTCAAGGCTGCACAACCAAACTGGGACTATTACCAAGGCACCAGTGATCTGCCTGGTCCCAGCTGGGTGGTGCCAAGGATGTGCCCAGTCCTCACACTCTTCCTCCCCTGCTGCACACTGGAGCAGGAGGAGCTGCCCTTCTGTCTGTCTTCCCAAAGCTTCAGCTCTTGTAGAGAAACTTCAAAAGAGCTCATCCTGCCCCTCGTACCCCCTGAGAATGGTTTTGTCTGAACTGAGGCATTTAGAGCAGATGAGAACAGCACATGCTGCTGCTGGTTTGAGCAGTGCTCCCATTCCACATGTAGTAGCCAGTAAGTAAACCTGACAGCACCAAATCCATGGATTTTTTGCTTTAATTTTGTTTGTGGATGTTACTTAATTCCATATCCTGACTTTTCATGGCCTTACGAAAGATTTACTACCATGAAAACAGTGGTGAGGGAAGGAATAAAAGAAATAAATCATGGCTCATCATAGTGGCATATTCAGTGAATAAAAATTCAATGTCACTGACAAAGAGAATTTGATTTTTTTTTTCCTCTGATGCTAATTCAAGACCAGCAAGTCTTGTTTTGTGGTCATATATCTGTGTCCAAATAGCAGCCCTCAGTGGTCATTTAGTCTGAAGTTCATTATGGGAAGGGTCAATGTGGCCTCTCCGCCTTAATAATAAAAGTACATCTGAGACAACTTTGTATGGCTTTTCAGGTGCACCTCAGAGCTGCATACAGATTTTGATCCTCATGATTAACAGACACTGCAATGGAGTCTCAACATTTTAACACAATATACTAAATTCTCCAACATAATGGCTCAGTAGACTTTCACAATTTATTCTCATTGGTTGCTCAGATCCTGATGAGCTCCTGCCTGAACCCCAACAGCAGTAAACCCAGCTGACTTCATTTTGAGAAGGAAGAGTCTTCCTCTCCTGTAGACCCATTATTACATGCTTTCCTCTTTCAATTTTTGTATCACATCCATGAAAGCCTTATGCAGATAAAGCAAAAAATTTAGGATCTTTCAAAAATGTTTAATGAAAATTATCACAAAGCATATATTTTAAGGTAGAGTCCTGTAACAGTCCACCTTAAAGATTTTAAAGCCACAAGGCACACCTGGCATTTTAGAATGAGCTAACCAACAGAGAGCTGCTTCTGTGTAGGACATCTGTGGTAGGACTGTGACAGGCTTTCATCAGATCTCACAAATTAAGCAGGGTATGGTCTTGATAAATCTTGGACTTTGCCTGAAGACTCCCTAAGGAAGATTCTTTCTTCCTCTTTATCCATTTCCCAAACAGAACAGACTGCTCAACTTTGGTCAGAGACAAAATATGCACGTCACTTAAGTTTAATTAAGGCTTGGAATTGATAAAGCTTGGAAAATGCCCGTACCTATATATATGTTGTGTGTGTGATTGGAGAAAGCTTATTTGTTCTTATTTACTATATGAAAAACATGGCAAAACTGTGAACTTCACATATAGAAGTGTGAAATTTTCATTTTTCTATGGTACTGAACTGTTTCTGCATAGACACAGAAAATCTCTGAGTTATCTCTTCCAGCCACTTTGGTATCTCAAAGTTGCATTCCATGCCAGCAGAACTGCAATATCCCAGCCTGGTTATTCTGCAGGGTAACTTTGCTCTCCACACTGGTGTGTTGCTGCCCAGAAAACAGCTCTGTGACTCCTTGTCAGATATTAGTGTGGCTCTTTCTAGTACCAAAGGGAGCCAGAAATGGGATGGAAGGCAAATTATGGTGCTGGACATCAACACCAGCTGGGAGTGCTTAAGGGGCCTCTTGGCATTGAGGAATGGATTTTGTTGTTACTGAAGGTAACACCACCGTGTTGCTTGGTACTCTGCAAGGTGAGGCATGTGCATATTTGCAGAACTGGACTGGTAGGTCCTGCTAACACTCTTTATAGAGACAAAAGAAAAAAACCTGTGTGAGACAAAAGTGTTTCAGTTTGATTTCTAAATCTGATAAAGCTCTGCTTGTAAAAGGAATCAAATAATTTTATATCAACACAATTTTTCATTAAGCTTATTCAGATAAGTTCAATTGCACCATGTAGGTCACCACCTTCATCCCTGACAAGACCAAAGCAGGAATATTCCAGCCTTCCATGAATTGCCCAGGAGAATGCTTAATTGCTACCTTCCTGCAGCTTTCAAACACTGGCCTATCAGTTTTCTCTGGTTTAGCAAACCAAACACTTAATGATTCCAAAGGAATTTGTGTTTCAATATTTGCCACACTTCAGATATTTTAACACCCAATTTTATTTTTATAAATTTTTATATCCACAGGATTTGTTTTCCACCATATAACATGATGCCCCCAGAGTAAAGTGATTTGAGACAAGAAAGAAAATCCCCATTAGACAGTAGTTTGCCATAGAAATTTCATTGGACAGTAAATGTCCAATGAAAATGGAAATGTAAATTTGCTAGTGTGGCCTTTACAATAGGACACATGAGGCCTGTGAGGCATTTCTGTTCTTCATGAGTCTTTTGTTGGTGTAAAAAAGTTGAATACAGGTAAACTACAGATGTAGCAGTCTTTAAGATACCCTGCTGTTATGTATCGAGTCTTGCCTCACTGAAAAATTATTAAAAATGATTGCAGTGGACCAGTCATACAGCAAATAAGATGTGTCAAAATCAGATTTCTCTTGCTGAGTGAACAGCAGGAATTTGCAGGAGGCTGGTGCTGGTTGCTGGTGCTGATCTGTGAATGGCATCCCAGGCAATGTCTGCCCTCCTTCTGCTGAAGCCTAATAATTCACAGCAACCATCCCAGCTGGGAGGGTGTGATCCAAGGCTTTGCTGGTGTTCCCTGATTACTATGGCACAGAGGGATGTGGGGCATGCCCCCACTCCTCTCTCAAGCACCCTTTTACCCCAAGGCAGGCTCTGCCCTTGTGTGAGCTATCCCTCAACTCACCCATTCCTCCTGGCCATGCCAGCAAGCACAGTGCATGGGATATCAGGCACTTTTTTGGGTGAGCTCCTCAAAGAAATCTCTGCCTTTCATTTGGTGGGAGTGAACAGGTCTGTGTGCAGCCCCCTGATGAGGTCTCTAGTGTCAAGATGACCCCGAAGTGTTAGAAAGTCTCTTTTTCCCAGTCCCGAGACCAAAGAAGAAGACAGGATTCCTTGGCTCTTGTTCTCAAGGTTGTTTATTTTTTCTTATCTATAACATTCTTTCTCTGACCTGCTGAGATTTGTCCAGGACATTGGTTCATGGCACACTGACCACCTTGGGGTGGTATTATCTTTTTATACTAAGAACTATGAGTACTTTATTTACAATAATTTTCCAATACCTATCACCTGTGTTAGTCTGTCTCCACTCTAAACCAATCCAGAAGTGTCACCATCACAGCAGAAGATGGAGGACAAGAAGGAGAAGGACAGGACATGCCCAAATTCCTCCATCTTGCCTCTTGAACCCCCATTCTAAACCCCCAAAATTCTACTTTTTCACCCTGTGATAAATTCATTACCATTCTATTCAAACCCTTGTGGCTTGTAACCCTTCACACAAAGTTGGTAATTGTTTCCATGGGTTAAAATCGAAGGTGCAGGTGTCTTTGACTCCATGCCAAGGTCTCTGAGCCCCCTGCCAGGGTCTCGAGTCCTCCAGGGTGGTCGGAGGAATGTCCTGGGTTCCAACAGCCCCCAGGTCTGGAGCCCCAGCAGAGGGGAGAGCAGCACAGGGCTGAGCCACGCAGCCTTGCTGGATTTCCTCTTCAATCACACATGTGCCCAGCATCAGCTTCCCAAAGCCAGGGTAGAAAACAAAACTGAAAGCCTAAACAAATGCATATGGCATTCAGAGCCCGGGACACTCCTGCCAATTTCTGCAACTGATACGCACTCAAAATATTTACTTAGGAATTCTTAATTAAGTCAACCATTTGGTAGTGGTGTACGGTTTCAGATGTGTCGCAATGTCACCACAAAATACCTCGGTGGCTCCTGCTAACAAAGAACCCACTGTGTGGATTTTTTTTTTTTTTTTTTGGTCAGAGATGGTGGGGTAAGTTTTCTGTACAGTGTGCCAAAAAGCTGCACAACTCCTCTGCTGTTAATGGGGTTCGTGTGGCTAAATGCCTTCATTCCTTGCTGACAACAAACCCTGTGCCCAGCAGCAGTTTCAGGTGAATGTCAGAAAGCAGAGCTGGGGTGGGATCGCAGTGACCCTACAGTTGCCTATCCAAGGGCTTGCAGCAGGGCTGGCTCAGTGGGAAGTGTGTGCTGTGCTGTTGTGCAGTCAGGAATGCGAGTGAGGGACGGTGCTGGAGGAGAAGAAGTTCTTGACACCAGTCCTGAGCTCCAATAAAATGTAATTTGCCCAGGGAGCACAGATTGGCAGAGGATTTTTAAAGCAACTGTTTAGTTTTTTTTAACCAAAAGGTTGAAATCAACTTGACTAAGTGTTTCATCTGTAGGCAATGTGTTGTTGGTTTAATCTCTTATTTTACATCTTTTGTCATGTATTTGTCAGAATGGTATATTAAGCTCCCAGGAGAAATCTCAGTACTCACCTGTGCCTGTGCAGGAGCTTGGGGATAACTCCAAAGATTGGTCAGTTACTACTCTTCATCTAGAAGTAGACAGTTCTGTTTCATAATTTTATCAAAATTCAGATTCTTTTAGCAAGAATCAAATTTAAATATTTTCTTCTCATGTGCTTGTACAGTTGTCCATTATAAGGATTTACTTTATATATTTTCCACTCCTGCAAAGACTCTGTAAACTGCAGTTCACATGATGAGCTTCTTATATGTAAAATTAATCAGAAGTTGCAAGGACACGATAACATATGAAATCAATGAAATGACTCGTGCTCAAGTTAGGTGAATGCTTGCTTTTGCAAATATAAAATGGAGACTCCAGCAAGCCAACCAGGAGTGAGGAGAACATTTCTCTTCAAACAAGCAGTTCTTAAAACTCAAGTGGCCTTAGTGCTTAATTTCTGAAGCATTTCAAAGACCTTTACTTTTATGACTCGCTTAGAATATCTAATAATTTTCATTTGGCTTTGTGAAAAGGGGAACTGGAATTGCTTAGGTCCTAGAGAGGAGATACAACTGTAACAGGAAATACATTTGGAAGGAGAAATTTCTCTTTTTGTGACAGGATTCATCTGTCTTTGCATAAGTAAGCAAGCATTATTTCAGAAAATAAGCTGAAAATTGTCTCCCACTGCCGTGTTTTTCTGCTTGCTGTGACACAGTCCTAGTTATTTTTTCAAATGATAAAAACCCTGATGTTTCAGAATTCTTATGCAGAAACCAAGCCCTCCAAAATCTTGTTCATCAGGTGTAATTTGATGGAAGTTTGAACTGCAAGGTCCTATCCAAGCCCAGATCTGATGGGGTTTTTTTGTTTGTTTCTGTGTGGGTTTTTTGTTTGTTTGGTTTTGTTGGGTTGTTTGGGTTTTTCCTGTGTTTTTTTTTTTTTTTTTGGAGGGGTTGTTGTTGTTGTTTAAATTTGGGCATAACTCTGTTTATAGATATTGCTCAATTTCAGTGCTGGTGTTTCCCTTGCATTAAAGGCATAGGCATGAAGAAATGTCAAAGCTCTCCATATGCCAGGGGCTAGTGCTGATTCCTTAGGAAATGTGCCATTATTCCACTCACTCTGTTTATCTGGATAAGCCATGTGGATGATGTTTAATGGGATAGCCCATGTGGATGACCCAGCAGAACAGTCTGAGCTGTGTGGAGACTGTTGTGGTGCAGGATGGTTGCAATTACTGTAAACTGCACCAGAAATCTTAACAAAATGCCAGACTCAGGAGTTTCTGGTGATAAGAATCAAGGCAATTTGCACCACAGAGAAAGATTAGATGAAAGAGGATGCCAAAGTGTGGCATGGAGGATCTGCCTTTTGACAGCTATAAATTGGAGAAAAAAAATTTAGCCTTCAACCTGCCAAGGGGCAGGAGCACATCACAACCCTCCCAAATGTGTGATGGATGCACAAACTGAGGGACGCCACAAGAAATAGAGGAGAGGAAGCTTGAAATGCTGTTGGGTGCATTTCTTTAATAAAAATAAAGCTTTCCAAAACCTCAGTTTCATGATTCAGCATTTCTTTTGGCAGTGTAACAATTTAAAAGTAGGCTAAACAAGTCTGAGGGAATATGCTGGTAAATTCAGGCCAGAGAGGGGGAAGTTTCTGGAAGTAATAGAAAAACCAAGACCCCTTCCACCCCCAATAATTGCAGTTTAATTGTTATAATACATTTCACAAGCACACAATAATTATAATTCTAATGACATGAAACCCTCACAATACCTTCTGAAGCAGGTATGATTGTGCTTATTTTCTGGATGAATAAACTAACCCACTGTGTTAAAACACTTTGACCAAGGTCTGTTCCAAAAAACAATGGGAGCCCAAAGAATATATTCTTTAACCTAATTATGAGACAGCAGGGACATGTATGAAGGAAGCAACTTAACTGAAAATTATATGTTTAGAGGCTGTGGCCAATTCTTGCTTTCCTTTGTTTTGAAAGTCGTAAGGTTTTTGCTGCTCAACTTGAGAATATTTAGTGGAAACTGTGGAAGCCCAGCAGCTAAAAAAAAAATTATGTCAGGAAGTTATCACACAGTTTTATAATTTTTTTAATTTTTAAAAAAGTATTTCTATAACACACAAACAATTTTTTAGGTGTAAGTTTTGCTAGCAAGTTGGTGGCATAGCCTCAGTAACTTGATGGCCATCAGGCAGCTACAAGACCAGAACTGTGTGTCTTGTGCATGTGCCAAGCATCAGATGGAATTTTGAATGCCTTGTGCATGTCTCTTTCTTAGGAGCCAGCCCCAGATTTGCTCAGGGCTAGATTTTCCTGGAAGGGTCAGTGTCTGAAGCAGCAGTGGAAATGGGTTACCAGGTGGGAAGGTCTTGCAGGAAGCCTGGGCACCTGGTCTGTCCCAGGGAACTGGGCAAAGCCTGGTGGAGGGGATGGGACAAGAATGGGACACAGCATTTTAGTGTCATCAAAGAGTCTGTGTTTCTGAATTTGACACATTATCTATTAAGGAAAAATGCTTCCCTTTGTATTTTAATGAATATTTTCAGAATGTCCATCCTACTTCGTGTGGAAAGTGGATGAAGTCAGAGAGAGAAGGGATCCATAACCTTTCAAAGAAAGTAAAACTTATATTTTTCAATATGGAAAGTGTGTTATTTAAAAAGAAAGAAAAAAAAAGTGCTGATCCTTTCCTCTGTGATTTTCATTAGCTTTTGAAGCCATAACATAAAAGTCATAAGCCACTGTAAAAAGAATCTTGTCCCTGTATCAAACATAATACTTTTTAAAGATTATCACATCTCTTGGAAAGTCCTAAAGACATCACTATTTAAATTTATTATTTTTCTTTTTAATTTGAAAGAGGAGAAATACTTTTTGCCAGAAATAAAACGTTAGCTCAAAACCTGCATGAATCTCAGGGACTCTTGTTCCATTTGACGCTCCAGCTTTGTTTCTCAGCATCCAGAGGAACACAAATTAAAGCTGCAGGTCTGAGCACTCCTGCTCCAGCACCGGGAGTGGTCAGACTGGAACTACCTTTTGTTCTTACTTCTGTTTAATAGGCAGAACAACAGGGCAGGCACATGCTGGGTGATCCCTTATTTCTGTATCCATAACCCCCCTCCGCCACCATAAACAAAAACCCACCAGTGGTGAATTTCTCATGGGTTGTTAACTTTGGAAAAAGTGCAAAAATACCTACTAAAGGCAGAGTGGATCATCATGGAATTTCCATTCCACAGGAATAGCAGTATTTCACCCTTCTTGCTCTGGCTTTAATGTATCCTATTGAAATGGCAAAATGAAACACTCTGATTTCATTGAAATGCAGCATATATGTAATCTTGCAGTTACCTTGTGATGAAGTTGACAAATTCCTCTATAATTCTTCAATTTTGTTTAGTCAGCATTTCCCCAAGGGAGCATTTCCAGTGGGAAATTTTTAACACCAAGATGAAAGGCCTAGGCTGGTGTTCAAGGTGGGAAGTAGGATCATGGGCAGTCTGTTTGTCCAGAGCCAGCTGAAGCATCTCCACAGGCATGGAGGGTACTCAGTAGATGTGACCAGAAGCATCACTAAACATCTACCCATCTTGTCCTATTTTTTCAAAATATTACCATTTAAAATGTAGGCTGTAAAGATGTTGAAAAACGAGCCTGTGAAGATGTTGAAAAGTGAGCTGAAAAATGAAAAATAAATGTGCTCAAGTGAAAACATATGGCAGGTGCAAGTTATATGCAAACTTCCTAATGAATTCTGAAAATATACTTGAATAATGAGAACTGCAAATGTTTCTAGCCTGGATGGCACATATTAAGGATAACTCCTATGTGCTCCATGATGTTTGCCAGATCTAAAAGCACAGTTATGCTGGTGAACTTCATTAATCATTCAATACCCTGAGCATAAAAATGGGCAAGAGTGTTGGTAGCGTCAAGTCATTTTCTAAATCGTGCTTAACAGTTTCAAATGAGAGGTGAATGAACTGGCTGCAGTAACTAAAACACTAATTCTGAACCTGCATTCAGAGATTTGTGGATGATTGCTTATCACTATATTTCAATTTTAAATAAGTCTTTCTTTCCACATCTCACAAGCTGACGTCTCTGTGTAGGACTGAAAACAAAAGTGCCAAAATTAAATTTCTTTGTTTCTTCTGGCACAAACCAGACCAGGAATTACTGCAAGATTTCCAGGCTGCTATACCAGACCAGAGACACTGTGCCAAGTTGGCATAATTACAGGAACTCAACCTCTGACCCTTCCCCTTTTGCACAGCACCCCGCCAGCCACACAGGAGCACCTGCTCACCTCAATTCGGTTATAACGTGTCTTTCTGCTTTTTCCTTCAGAGCTTTGTCATCCGTGGTGGCTTTAGGAGCTAATATAATCTGCAACAAAATCCCAGGCCTGGCCCCTCGGCAGCGCGCGATCTGCCAGAGCCGCCCTGATGCCATCATCGTGATCGGGGAAGGGGCACAGATGGGAATCAATGAGTGCCAGTACCAGTTCCGGTACGGGAGGTGGAACTGCTCTGCTCTGGGAGAGAAAACAGTCTTTGGACAAGAGCTTCGAGTAGGTAAGGGTGTCTCTGTCCCTGCAGTGCTGTAGGGGTTTGTTTGGGATGGCTTTCTCTTACCTTTCCCGCAAAGGTTTATAACCCTCGGAGTTCAACAGCAATGCTTCCAGAATAATTGTGTGTTTCCACTCAGTGAAAAGTCACTGGCAAGAGACACGGAGTCTCCAGTGATCTGTAGATGAAGTCACTCATATCTGTGCAAGTTCAGGCCCAGTAGTGGCCTCGGTGCCTGCACAGCCATCCAAGGTCACAGCCCATGAAGAGTATTTCCAACTGCTGTCCTGTTACACGTTGTCATGATAACTGTGGTGAATATCATGGCCGATCAAAAATTAACTAAAAGCAGCTCAGAAAAATCCCTCTGGGTGGATAGTTCCAAACAGAAGACTGGGAATGGGAGGGGGACAACTTCTGAAGGAGAGATACTCATAAGCAACAGTGATTCTTGCTCTCTTTGTACTGGAAACAGGTAACATTGTCAGTCCCCTCTTGATCTCATGCTTCAGCTGCAGGCCTGAAAAGACATGGGAACTGGGCATGGAAGATATGTAAATCATGGAGGAGCATTTAGCATCTTATCATACATAGGGGGTGTCAGCCAGTAAATTATTCTTTGTTCAGACTTCCCAGAAGCTTAAGCAATGGAAGAGTCCCAAATAATTGATGAAGTACTGTGCATACAACACTGGCCTTCCAATAAGTGGCAATGATACATTTTAGTGTTGCTATCATACTGCAAAGAAAATACTGCAAGTGATTTGAGGCAGGAAACATAGTCAAAGAAAATAATACATGGCCTTGGCCTGACAAGCTGCTAGCTGGCAGAAGTTAAATCAATACCTTTTCATTTACCCTATGTCTGGTATTATTTCACAGGGGAGATTATGTAAATTTTTTCCAGGAGTGAGGTCACTATTTTCCTCATCATCCAGCAGGGTATCCTTAACTTATTCCTGACCTTTTCTCTCTCCCCCAAGGGCTGCCCACTCTCCTGTCTGTTGCTCTGGGTTGGGATAACATGTTGTACTGTGTGGCTCTCTCAAGGGCACTCAAAGTGATACCATCCAGCTTCTCAGTGGGGTTGTACCCTATTCTTCTTGTATCCCATTTTTCTTTGGGTGATACCTCTTACATTCAATGGTTTGGGTGAGTCTTGTGCTTCCAATACAGCTGAGTGTGGTCAGACATAAGGTCTCATTAAAACTGTATGAAAAAAGGCATAACATTTAATTTCATCTGTGCAAAGAGGTGTTGACTCACATGGTGCTTTGGTTGTTAGTGGTGGTCAAGATGTCAGGGTTTTTTTCTGACACCCTTGTGAAACAAATGCCCAAAACTGAAGTATGTTTGGGTCAACAAGGGAACTGAATATTTTTTGAAAGAACATCAAATCTGAGAGTCTGGCTGAGGTCTGGGTGCATTAAGGACACAGTGGTTCAGCTGTAAAGTGTTGTAAGGGAATAAATCCTTTGGCATTGGGCAATTGACTTATGTTTGCAGAGGGTCTGTCATATTCTGTGAGCTTTACATTACATTCTCAAGGCATCATATTCAGGGATTAACCTAACTTTTGACTTCTACTTTCAAATTTAAATGAGCCAGAAAAATATCTAGTGACTTGTCTTGACTATTAGAAGCATGGTCTGGTCCTCCTTGGCCGGTATTATGTTTGTTTAATTTTGGTTGGTAACCAGAATTACGTTGCTGTCAGAAAATATACATCTGCCAAGCATTCTGTGCTTCTTCATGCTCTGTTTTCATCTGCCAAAGCTTGCAGGCATGTCCTGACCTTAGATAAGTGAGTTGTCTCACCTTCTGTGAGATCCCTTATGGCCTGAGAAGGGCCACACTGGAGGGTTGTACCAGAGTGGCTGTCATCTCAAAGCTTTCCAGTGAAAAGGCTTCCACCACTTCTGCTCTCCTCTTCAACTGAGGATCTTGTGCTTCCTCAGCATCTTCACCACTGTGCTCGTGGGTAGCAATCCTCCTCATCAGAGACTCCTTTCATCCTCCAAAACTTTGCAAGTGAGGGCAGTTCAAATGCCTAAAGAGGACAAGTCGTAGTTTTGCTTTCAGTCTCAATGTTTCTATGCAAAGTAAAAGAGCTACAAGGAACAGAAATTATTTGTCATTAGGATGGACCAGCTATCAGGCTGGTCAGACTATACAAAGTTGGAAAAAACCAGGGTTTTCTTGAGCCACTGTTCAAGCCATATTTGCCAAAATGTTTGCCAGATTCTTGACCTGTTCACTGAACCTGGGTGGTTCCTTGCAAGTCTGAAATGACTGAAGTGGAATTTGGTGGGTTCTTTTATGGGTTAACCCAAACACAGATGAAACTTGGCTGTTGCAGCTGAGTTCTGCTCTGACATTTGTTGGGTGTGAAACCACACAGACTCTAGCAGTTGCAGAAGGTTTACATGACCCCTTCCAGCCGAGCCAGATGAGTTCCATGCAGGTCTGTAAAGGATCCCATAATCCACAAGTCTTTATTTCTTTTATTAGTGGGGTAGCACCCAGAGATGATGAGGTCAGTACCTAGGAAAAGGATAGAGTTTAGGAAGTAGTGCTATTACACTAGCAAGGGGGAAAAAGGTAAAAAATGGACAAAGAATTAAAAAACCCAACTACTTAAAAGTACAAATATTCACATGTGTAACAAAACAGACCCATGTCTGACACAGAAACACTAAACCAGCCACTTGGCTCTTCCTGAACACACTGGAGAAAGGACTGAAACTAAAAAAAGACAAGCATGTTTTTCACTTCACCCCAAAGGAAAGCTTTGTCCCAGAACCCCTCGGGGAGCTGAACACTGAAGATGAGTTATTCAGGTCTCAGGTAGGGAGGGACAGTAAGCAGTGATAACATATTAAACTCTTGCTGCATGGGAAGGAGAGGAGCTACTCTTTAGCCACTGACCAAGACTCTACCACCACACTGACAAGTACAGATTTATGGTTATTCTAACTTGTATTTTGATGCAACACTCCTCCTTCAAAACTCAAAGCAAACACTCACCCAACGTGAAGTTTCTCCAGCAGATGTACATCTCTTTCTACCATCACCTCTTGGGTGCCTTTGTGTTCTAACTGTGCATGTCTTCCACCCACCACCAAGCCAGAAGACATGACACAGGGACACATGTCCCCCCTGGTGATTTCTAGGGATCCTGCTGTGCCAGGAGAAGTCCTCAGTTCATTAGATAAACTCTAAGATGGATCAGTGAGGAGTTATTTATTCACAGAGGTACTTCAGTGAATGAGGGCTGCACCACCAATACAGTACATGGAATCTATATTTAAAAACAATTGAAATAGTCCAGAGGATGGAATAACAGTTGTAGAAATCATGGGGCATTCATGTTGGTGTGAAAGATTTATAACAGCCAGACATAAAAGTGACAGAGAAATCTAAATTACTATCATGAACAAAGGCTGTAGCATGGGATGAATTTGCCAAGCATTGTGTATGCATAGCTTATTTTGATATATTTATAGCTGGGAACTCTTCCATAGTCATGCCACCCCCAAAGAAAGTCAGTCCTGCTCTTACTTTACTCATGCTGTCCTTGTACATTTTTGTATTTGTCACCTTCCTGAGTTCATCCCTAGTTTTCAGGCCAGCTTCTCACATACTCTTCTGTACTCTCCACTCATTCTTCTTGCTTTAAGCCTCTTTAAAGATTGCCTCTTAAACAATTGAATTCAAAAATTAAAAATTAAATATTTTTATTCTAATTAAAAATAATCATACATCAAATGTTATTAGTGATAATCACTGTTGAAAGATAATTGCCCTTCTAACATTTTGAAAGCAAGGACCCTGATCTGGAAGAGTAAAGCCTCTGGTCCTGTCAGGTTATTGATACAAAAGAGCTCCAGCACTAGGTCTCTATTCCCCCAAATGATGGGCAGAGCAATTTGTCCCCTACATGCCTCTGAAAGCTGCAGATCATTAATAGCATTGAAAGCAAAGAACTCCCCCCAGAAAAGTCAGCAGTGCAGGCTCTGCAGTAGGAAGTCTGAATCAATAACAGAAATGAAACCTACTGTTGTTCTTTGACAGTGGATTATTCTGGCTAATCATTTGTGCATTGACCCTTTCCACTGGAATCCTTTAAACTGAAGTGCTTGTGAACAGGCAGCTCTTACCAGTGCTAAATCCAGGGCAAAACGGAGCTGTTCTGGTGTTTTGGAACATATATCTGTCAAGATATCCAAAGTGATCTGTACCTGTCTCCTTTGTCAAACTCATGATGTGGAAAATGAGCAATGATTTAGCAATATTTGGCTGTGTCACTGGTGCAGTGATTTGGAAAATCATTAAATTGGACACCCGACAGGGAAATATTAACAAGTAGGCCAAACTAAGGGAGTTCTGAAGTTGTTTTTTTTTTTTTGTTTTTTTTTTTTTTTTTTGTTTGGGGATTTGTTTGTTTGTTTGTTTTTTGTTTTTGTTTTTTTTTTATTTAATGTCTTACCCTTAGTTTTGATCTGTAGTTTTCATGTGCGTTGAAAGGATGCCTCTGAAGGGAAGTTACAGCTCTGCTTGCCAGGGGAGGTTGAGGAGAAGAACACCTTAAGAAGTTTCCTGTCTCTTCCCATTCGTTTAACTTTTGATCCACTCTCCAGGCAGAAAGGGGGAAGGATAGGAGAAACAAAAACACCACAGTTTAAGCAACAAACAAAATCTGTGCATGGATTTTATTAACTCCCAGGTGAAGGAGACTTTTAGCAAACACAATCAGAACATAAAGTTAATTTCACAGCTCTCTACAAGCATGCACTTGTACATGTGCACACGTAAACCGGGAAGAGGATGGATAATTCCAAACAGAAGACTGGGAAAGGGAGGGGGACAACATCTGAAGGAGAGATACTCATAAGCAACAGAGATTCTTGCTCTCTTTGTACTGGAAACAGGTAACATTGTCAGTCCCCTCTTGATCCCATGCTTCAGCTGCAGGCCTGAGAAGACATGGGAACTGGGCATGGAAG